CCCTAAACAAACTGGAACTAAAAACTACGAAAAAGAGAGATGGGTCCCCTCTTCTTCTTACCTTCGGCAGGCGCACCGGAGAGGAAGAAGGAGAGGGGCCCTAGATGGAGGCGTGGCGATGGCGAGGCCCTAGGAGCAAGGGCGGCGTCATTTTTTGGTATACCCTAGGTGGCGGCTTCTCTTTTAACTTTCACTGTAGTCCGATTTACCTTTCACCACCTCTCAGTTTTAAAACCATCCAAGTTTACTTTACGGGTAGTTTTGGAAGTGGTTTTGGTTGATGTGGTATCCTACATGGTGTTATGCCAGCTACAATGTATAAAGACTATGTTGATAGTCCATGATCAATTAGACTTTACCAAAAAATATAGAAATAAAATTAAAAAAATTGTCCAAATACTTTTTTCTGGGAATAATATACAATTAAATAAAATCCTAAAATCAGATTTGATCTTAGAAAATTGTTTCAGCTAAAAAAATATGACACTAGTTTCATTCTTTCAAAAATCATTCTCTATATTATAGCACCTAGCATAGAATTGTTCGAATCTTATATGATCTCTATTGTTGTTGTTTTAGTAGATGCTCTTTTTATGTGTTATAATCAAAGTTTTAAATCTCCGGCTATAGCTGCAGCTATAGCCGGAGATAGCTACTGGGGACGGAAGCAGCTAAGCGATGCAGTTTTTTGCGCTAAGAAAAGCGGGACGCTAATAGCTGCGTTTAGCCGGCAATAGCCGCTAAACTGGCCTTAATTTAGCGCAGCTAAATTATGAAACGCCGAAACCGGCCTGGCCCAAGAAGTAAACCGGCCCAACTGGACCAGAGAGCAGGAGGATACGTAACCCTAGTCAGCACTCATCTCTCTAGTCTCCACTCTATCTTATCGAGTGCTCGCTCTCCAGCTCTGCAGAAAAGAGGAGGCGGCGTCGGCGGCTGCTGCTGCTGCGCCCTTCGGCGGCGGCGTCGCAGCGGCGACCGGCGGTGTAGGCTTCGAGACTCGAGAGGACCGGCGGCGGCGGCGCGCGGAGGCGACCGGTGGCGGCGGTGGCTTCGAGCGGAGCGACTAACCGGTGGCGGCGACGGTTTTGGAGGCAGCTGAAGGCGTGGAACCGGAGCACTGAAGCAGTAACACCAAAGACGACGCCATGGCACAACAATCTAGCAAGCTTCTTATCTGTTCAATGCTCTATTTGTTTCCTAAATAATGTACTTTAGTGAAGCTGATGTTTCAATAATCTGTTATGAACCTGAATGATGTACTCCAATGAACGTGTGGTGTACTCCTATCAATTAGTTATGGATCAATTAGTAATTAATAATAAAGCTTTATTCTGTGATTTTGGTGCTTCAAATTATTATCCAACCTGCTAGACATCTCGTAGTCGTGTTTATTATGATTAAAATGAACGAATACATTTGTCGCCAAACTCTGTCCTTTGCCTTAGGTTTGGAAGTCTACTGTCAGAAATGTTCTCAGGGGACTTGGGAACGCATCTTGAATTTTCCCTTGTGCTTCACATGAGGAATATGTTTGTATCATATCAGTGGCCTTTGTTGCTTGTTGCTTGAATGCTACTTCGGAATTTATCCTAGTTCTGATCAGTTGCTGCTATCTGAACTGCTAGTTTGGTCCACTGGAAATGCTAGTTATTGTAGTTGCTGCGGATGGCTTAATTGATCATCAAACCAGGACATTTTTACATTTGTAGCAAGTCTAATGCATTGTTGCCTGATGAGGGTGGTGCTGAATTGTAAGCATGTAAAATGTGTTAAAAATGTCAGAGCTAGGCTTTCTTCTGCACCTTGCATAACTCGTCATATGGAAAATGTAACTATCATTGTGTTTACCTAAAGAAAAATGTATGCTAATAAAGAAATATTGAAGTGTATCAGAAAATCATTTCAGAAAATGACTGTAACCCAAAGCCTCTGTGCAGATTTGGTTGTAATCATTCATTGGTTCTACATGCTATGTGTAGGACTGTACTAAGCTTTTTCTATTATTCTCAATCAATTCTTTTTGAATGATATTTTTTTTCACGAGTAATGATCAAGATCAATGATAAATATAAATTCATATTGACCTCTTACTGTCTTGCACTGATGTGAATCTTCTGGTTTTGTCTGCAGTTGGTGATCTGATTTAGTATCGATTATCAAGTTATGCCAATATCATGTGTTTTTTTCTCATTTTTTTGAAAAAAACAGCTAAACGGCTTAGCCGCAGCTATGTCCGGCTATATCTGCGCTTAGCTGTTGAAAAGGTGAGCAGCTAAGAGGCTTAGCCGGAGATTTAAAACATTGGTTATAATTAGTCTATGCTGATGATACAGAGCACATAGAAATTCAATTGACTTTGGTGCTAACACATGCTCACAACATGCATCCACACTCAAAATATGAACATACACATTCATACCCTTCTCATTTGAGGATAGATCTTGAGATTAATTAACAAAGTCATTACAGACATTTCATTGAAATTTGGTAATATTTTGTTAACTTGATTCAACAACATTCTCTCATGTGTTTGTGTTAATTTTATGCTAATAATTCAAATCTCATCGAGTATAATTCATTTGCATGTTTATAAACAAGAAACAGAAAAATAAAAGGATGTTTCTTTGCATTACGATGGTATTTAGATGACGAGGCATGTTTGAGTCAACACATACTAATTATAACATATATAACTAGACCATCTACTGGCAAATAAACATGGGCATGGCTAGCGCCCGGACGCTAGCCCCACGCCCACACCTACCCACTCACGTCTCGCCTGCTGCGTCCGTCCGCAAGCATGTGGGCCCCACCCTATGCTAGTGGGGACCGCCTCTACCAGCGCTCACTTCCCGAGCCTGACATTGTACTTTCAATGGTACGCGACGTTCCCGTCGACAACGAGACGCCTGCAGTGACTTTGTCAATCTCGAGATGTGCCGGTATAGTCTTTCGAAGATGCTCATAGGGGTAGGATTTATGTGCATGTGTTCATAGGGGTGAATGTACATGCGTGTTATGAGCGTCTACATATGTACCTATGTAACTCTCTCAAAAAAAGAAAGGCGAGGAGGGAGATGCAACACCTGGTCTAGTTTTGAAATATCCAGATACAACAATTGCAACATACGTCTAAAAATAAATGAAACATTTGAAACATGTATCTAAAACAATTGCAAAAACACCTAAAAACACTTGAAACCATTATAAACATACGCAATATCTAGATAAAACACTTGTAACATATGTGTGAAAATATATGCAACATCCAGATAAACACACTTGCAACATACATCGAAAAAACAGACGAAACATTGAGAACAGGAGTTTGCAACATACGTGTACAACCATTGCAACATCCTGATCTAGTTTTACAACATATGTACAAAACAATTGAAACATACCTATGAAATATCTTAAACACTTCAAACATACATTTGCAACATAAGGGAGGCCGGGACCGGTCGATTCCAGCCGTCGGGGTCGAAGAGCGCAACATCTTCTTGCTACTTGGGAGAATAAAGACTCGTCGGGTGTGGAGTTCACCGGTGTAGAACTCATCGTTCCGCTGGGGAAGGCCGCGGCAGGGCGTCATGAGCTAGGCGCAGGCGGCACACGAGTTCCGCCCCAGCCACGGCGAGCTGGGCAAGCGAAGCGCGAGAAGTGGACGGGCGGGCTCCGCCCAGGCTGCGGTGAGCTGCACGCGGGCGAGCTCCACCATGGCTACGGCGAGCTGGGCACCCTCTGCCCCAACTGCGGCGAGCTGGGCAGCCTTCGCCCCGGTCGAGATGAGCGCAGGCGGCCGCACGCGGGCACGAGATGAGCGCGGGGGCGGGCGGGAGGCACGACTTCAGCGGCGGAGCCTGGCGTCGTAGAGGCGAGCGAGGGCCCCTGAGCGGAGGAAGCAGAGGTGGTCGCCGCTGGCGGCGGCGGCGGGTGGGGAGCGGGGCTTGGGTGAGCGTGAGAGGCGGAGTGGGAGTTATTTCTTTTTGTTTTCGGAGTCAGCGTCCGGATGAACGGACGCCCGCGTAGCAACATTATTGAATAAACATCAAAGGACATATAAAAGATTCAAGTAATTCTAAGCTAGGTACAATAATATAGAGCATGATCTTTGAAAAAAATTTGAAACTGGTTTCATATTTTTCTAAGCTAAAAGAATTTTTCTAAGATTAGTTTGGATGTTGGGATTTTAATTTTCTTATTTTCTAGAAAAAATATTTGGACAATTTTCTTGAAAAAATCTATATTTGTTTTATAATAAAGTAATAGACTCCTGACGTGTCATGTCAGCTAAAATCGCTTTCATCTTAGGAACAACTTCGGGCGGTTTTAAAGGTTGGATGAGATAAAAAAAAAGGAACCTGTTTTTTGGTTGGACGAGGTAAATCGAACGGGTAAAGTTGAAGTAGGTTAAATCGACTTTTTCTGTTAATTTTTTAGTGGATATTTTCTTTTTCTTTTTCTTTTTTTGAGCAGAGAGTGGATTTTTTTTCTGTTTATATGAAAACAGACCCTGAGTCTCCGTCGCTCAGGCCCACGGACCACACTAATTGCGTGTTTGACGGAGCACTATTACGCTGGGCTGACCAGTCTTCGGGGACCGTCAGAATGAAGATTTGGAAAGGGGCCACGCGACCCCCAAATTTCGTTGTTTATAATAAACTGGTATCAAACCACGTGCTGTACTTGCGGATACTACCGCAAAGACTTCCGGAATCCGGAGCACTTCCGATCTGAGGTCGGTCTTTCAAGTTTCAACCCTCCACCGTATGAATCACTCCGGACGGACCAAAAAGCCACGTAAACTAAATGGAAGTCATTTTGAAAGCTTAAAAAAAACCCGGACTTTTGTGCCGTCAACGGTAGAGTTGTGTTAAACAGGGGAGTCCAATTCCCTATGCACTTTACCGAACCACCTCCACTTCCCGCGTTCACCGCGGCGGCCGTGCCCGTGCACCACCGACGCCACGGCACGAAAACAAGCCCGCCGAGGCATGGAGGCACCACGCCCGTGCCTCCCCGGCCTGCTGCTCGCGCTGCTTCCCTGCTGCTGCCTGCTGCCCCGCGCGGCCCCGCAGTCCTCCCAGCCGGCGGCGGACGAGGCGCAGCTGCTGCTCCAAATCAAGCGCGCGTGGGGCGACCCGCCCGTGCTCGCCGGATGGAACGCCTCGTCCGCGGGCGCACGCTGCGCGTGGCCATACGTGGGCTGCAACACGGCAGGCAGCGTCACCAAACTCACCCTCGCAGACGCCAACGTCTCAGGCCCGTTCCCAGACGCCGTCGGCGGCCTCGCAGGCCTCACGCACCTCGACGTCTCCAACAACAGCATCACCGGCGTGTTCCCGACCACGCTGTACCGCTGCGCTTCGCTGCGGTACATCGACCTATCCGAGAACTACTTCGGCGGCGAGCTCCCCGCGAACATCGGCAACCGCCTGGCGGCGACCCTGACCACGCTGGTCCTCAGCGGCAACGAGTTCAACGGCACCATCCCGAGGTCGCTCTCCAGCCTCCTCAACCTCCGGCATCTCGAGCTCGACAACAATCGACTCGTTGGCACCGTCCCGGCTGGGCTCGGTGCGCTGACGAGGCTTCAGACGCTGTGGCTGGCGTCCAACCCGTTCGTCCCTGGCGAGCTGCCGGCGTCATTCAAGAACCTGACCAGTCTAGTCAGCCTCTGGGCGGCGCAAAGCAACCTCGTCGGCGACCTCCCGAGCTATTTAGCGGATATGCAGGAGTTGGAGGTGCTGGACATCTCGGAGAACTCGTTGATAGGAAGCATACCTCTGGGGGTTTGGAGCCTGAAGAAATTGCAAAAGATGACAGTGTTCAGGAACAAGCTCACCGGCGACATGGTCGTCGACGATGGCTTTGCTGCAAAGAGCTTGACCATAATTGACGTCTCCGAGAACAACCTTAGTGGAGTCATTCCGGAAGTCTTCGGGCATTTACAAAACCTCAGACAATTACACCTCTTCAGCAATAACTTTTCAGGCGAGATACCAGCGAGCATCGGCCGGTTGCCATCTCTATGGACATTGAGATTGTACAGTAACATGATTACTGGCACGCTCCCGCTGGAACTCGGGAAGCACTCGAGCTTGGGTTATGTAGAGGTTGATGACAATGAGCTCACCGGCGCCATTCCAGAAGGGTTATGCGCCGGAGGCCAGTTCCATTACCTCACCGCTGAGCACAACCACCTGAACGGCTCCATCCCAGCGGGCCTTGCCAACTGCGCAACTCTGGTAACCCTGGATCTAGACAATAACCAGCTCACCGGCGACGTGCCAGAGGCTCTATGGACAGCCACGCAGCTTGAGTTCCTAGCACTACAGAGTAACCGTCTCACCGGGAGTCTTCCGGCCTCGATGTCTGCCGACCTTACGACGCTACACATAGGGAACAACCAATTCGGTGGCAACATTCCGGCTTCAGCAGTTATGCTCCAGGTGTTCACCGCCGAGAACAACCAGTTTTCTGGCGCGATACCGGCGAGTCTTGGCGACGGCATGCCGCTGCTGCAGACACTGAACCTGTCGGGCAACCAACTCTCTGGCGCGATCCCCAAGAGCGTTGCTAGCCTGAGGCAGCTGACGTTTATGGACATGAGCAGGAACCAGCTCAGCGGCGCGATACCGGCCGAATTGGGCGCCATGCCGGTGCTCAGCGTCCTTGACATTTCGTCGAACGACCTCTCCGGCGCGATACCTCCGGAGCTTGTGAAACCAAACCTCAACGCCCTCAACCTGTCCTCCAACCACCTCAGTGGCCAGGTCCCGATCGGGTTCGCCACGGGGGCCTACGACAACAGCTTCCGCGATAACCCCGGCCTTTGCACCGAGGCTCCGGTACCCGCCGGCGTGCGCTCCTGCGCTGCGGCGGGATCACAAGACAGTTCTTCCCGAGGCGTCTCACATGCACTCCGCACGGGCCTCCTCGTCGCTGGCGGCGCGCTCCTCGCCGCCGCGGCCTTCGCCCTGCTACTCGTCCGCGACATCAAGAAACGGCCGCGCGTCGCGGTCCGGGACGAGTGGAAGATCACGCCTTTCGTCCAGGATCTGGGCTTCGGGGAGGCATCCATACTCCGGGAGCTGACAGAGGAGAACCTCATCGGCCGCGGCGGTTCCGGCCACGTGTACCGGGTCACCTACACCAACCGTCTCAACGGGAGCGCGGGCACGGTGGCCGTGAAGCAGATATGGATCGCCGGGACGCTGGACGAGAAGCTGGAGCGCGAGTTCGAGTCGGAGGCGGGCATCCTCGGGAACGTCCGGCATAACAACATTGTCAAGCTGCTGTGCTGCATCTCCGGCACTGAGGCCAAGCTCCTTGTGTACGACTACATGGACAACGGCAGCCTGGACCAATGGCTCCACGGCCACAACGCCAGCGCTGATGGGCTCCTTACGGCCAGGGCGCCGCTGGACTGGCTGACGAGGCTCAGGGTGGCCGTCGGCGTCGCGCAGGGGCTATGCTACTTGCACCACGAGTGCTCGCCACCCATCATTCACCGCGACGTCAAGACGAGCAACATCCTGCTGGACTCGGAGTTCAGGGCCAAGGTCGCTGACTTCGGGCTCGCCAGGATGCTGGTGGAGGTCGGGGCACCCAAAACGATGTCCGCCGTCGCTGGGTCTTTCGGCTACATGGCTCCCGGTATGGATTTCGGCCCTGTCCATTTTGATGGGTTCTGTTCTGTACAGAATTTTGGGGCAGTATTTGCTGTATCAAATCAAACGCTGCATGTGCTTACCTGCAGAGCGTGCTTACACGAACAAGGTGAACGAGAAGGTTGACGTCTACAGCTTCGGCGTCGTTCTTCTGGAGCTCACCACCGGAAAGGAGGCCAGCGCCGGCGGCGAGCACGGCTGCCTGGCGGAATGGGCGCGGCACCACTACCAATCAGGGGGGAGCATCCCTGATGCCACAGACAAGAGCATCGGATACGCAGGGTACTCTGAGGAGATCCAGGTCGTATTCAGGCTAGGCGTGCTGTGCACCACAGATATGCCGTCGTCGCGGCCAATCATGAAGGACGTGCTGCAAATCTTGCTCAATTGCAGCGAGCAGACGCGCCAGAAGAGCAAAATGGAGAATGGCCAGGAGTACGAAGCGGCTCCTCTCCTGCTGCCGCAGCGACGCAGTCGCCGGAAACAGCCGTCGAATGGAACAGGAATTGACATGGAAGAAAATAGTGACTTCGACAGCACGGTCTAAGACTAAGAACTGAACATTGCACATGTCAGTACAGTAAGTCTGGACAGCGTCAATCAACAGATACAGAGATACTTCTGTTAGTACATTTTAGCACACTATAGCTTAGAGTCATGCATCATAACTTGTCACCATGGCCTTTGTGGGGTTTCACACAGTAAATTCCTATTAAATCACACATACATTAGACCAATCAAACATAACAAGCAAATATTACTATCGTAGTTGTTTCTGAAATAAAGGCAGGAGCTCTGCACATTCAATAAAAAATGAGTCCCCCACCTCTCTCTTTGTTTTGGAGGACAAGATCACACAGATAAGAACTGGTTGTTTTGTGATATCGCATCAAAAAAGAATCGGCAGGAATGGAACGGCTTATTCAGACATCAGACCTCCGCTTCCACTTTTTTGTGCCGTTGCTAATGCTTGTTGCTAGTGATAATGTACTCCAAGCTCAATGGCACCATCCTAGCTATACCCCGCTGCTGAGGCAAAAAAGAAAAAAAGAAAAAAGAAGAAGATGCGAATCGCACATTTGCACGAGGGGGTCTCGCGATTGAAGGGGAAAAGGGAGGAAAGCAGAAAAAGGCTACACTAGGAGCCGAGCTCCTAGGGGCGTGTTCGGCTGGTATTAAAGCCAGTTTCGGCTGAAGCTGTTTTGTCGTGAGAGAAAAATACTGTAGACTTTAGCTGATAAGCCGGCTGATAAGTTCAAGTGAACAGGCACGATCTATGCAACTTCAGCATACTGGGAGTGTGAGGCTGCAAGAAGTGCAGCTCCGATTCCTGAGCCGTCGTTGGCCAACTTGACAACAACCGATGAGGCAACCTCCTCACCGAGCAGGTCTGTGAGAGTCGCTTCTAGGCAGGCACTGAACTTCTTGTAATGCTCGTATAAGCCACCATCAATAGCAACTACAGTCCTTTGTTGACTGAAGTCACTAAGCAATTTGTCTTTGCCCAGCTTCTTCAGAATACCATATATACCAGCAGCAGCCAAGCGTGCACCTCTCTCTGCGACGAGGTCGCACACATGAAGAGTAATGTATCTTGCTTCGAGAGAAGTATCAGGAACCTAAAATAAGTAGAAACATAACACATAAGGAACCAATTGTCATTGAAGATTGTATCTAACAATACCCTTTTTTTTAACATTTGTATCATCATTACCCCCAGAATATCCTTCAGCTTAGCTCCCAGGTGTTTGAGATCATGTGAGGTGTCATGATGCATGGCTGACATATCTGGCGTCCTGCCATATCACAATCGCAATTTCATTCAGAAAAGATTTTATTTTACACAAGACCTACAATTCTGCTTCACAAGTTTGTTGGATAACCTTTTTAAGTAATCTACGATACACGGTAAACAACTTGGGGCATGTGCTCATACAACAAGATTTATACTAAGAAAATCACGATTGCCATTTTCACTTCTTCAGTTTCTTCTTCAATTAGCCTATGAATGTGATTTTAAAGGTTTAGATGGGCAGTCCAAGGAAAATTTTGATTTTTTTTCATTACTGAGTAAGTTTAGAATTTTATATGTTTGGGACTACAAAGATCTTAACATCATCACAAAGAGGTGGATTTGCAAAATTGCTGATTAGACAGGGTGGAGAGAGAGAGCTGTTTAGTAGGGCTCCTCCGGAGGAGCCACATTGTGAGAAAAAAGGAGCCCTACCAAATGGGACCTCAGCTTAATTCATAACTTAAACTGAAAGTGGTAATTCCAATTTCCAAGATATAAATGGTCAGGGAATTAAATTTTGTAGTCCACGTGCTTAAAAAAAAGACTGAATAAGTAGGGAGATTGCACCAAATTACCTCTCAGTTTAATTTAATGATTGGCCATGTAAATAAACTTTTTAAAGAAAGTGAGAGGAACATTATCAAAGCCTTAAGTCTTACGACTTCAGTTTCCAATCTGGAACATCTATGTGGGTGAACTTTCTAATTTTGAACTTCAGATGCACGGTAGAACTCATAGTATAAACTGCCCAAGTATATCCACAATCTATCAAAATGTTTGGACTCTAGGTTGTGCAAATATGTGTGCACCTTTATATAAGTTGATTTTGGATCTTTTTTTTGTGTATCCTACAAATATAAGAAAATCAATATCTTGAGTGGATGGAACGTGAAAGTAAACCTCAGTATAAATTGCTGTTCCAATTTCGGAGGAACAACATCCCCAAACAATGAAGCATCATGAGCCAGTTTCAGCAGGACCCTCCGCACAATTTCTCCAAGATACATTCCAGAAATCATCTTTTCATATATCTGACAAAAGAGTACATAGGTTATGATCATGTTCAACACCCAAATGTTTTACTCCACAAACATCTAAATAGGTGCACACTCAGGATTTGAACCCTGCTGGGTGGAGTCATGTACACACGACTCCACCACCAAATATAGTTATTAGAACAATAGATGAATGGTTTTGCTATTCATCAGTTACCTTTGCCCCCTAAAATCTGAGTCAACCTTTGGGACAATTGGATCTGTATGCAGATAGGTGTACAATCTGATTGGATTTGATCCAGTGCATAAAACGTGCGACTTAAACTTATGAAAAAAATTGAATTCTAAAATAAACAGCTGCATAAATTAAATAGGCATACCTGCTCACCAGGGTTCAAACTTTCGAAGTCCAAGGATTTATCATACTCCGACCTTGGAAGTTTATCTGACCTGAAGTTTCCCCATTCCATGTTGATTACCTGTAGCATTCCAAAAGAACCAAATGTTACATCATTAACTGGTGAGCAAATAATAAAATAGTAAAATACAGAATGCCAAACTTATGTTGGATGAATACAATTTAACAAGGCCCAAAAGATCATTTAAAATAAAAACTCGACCAACCTATTAGGAACTAGTGGCATTGTAAATAAGAATAAATATGGACCCAAATTCGAGTTGAAGAGGAATTGCATTGAGTGGTGGGGCGCACAACCACACCTCGCACCAACTGAACTAGCTCAATTCCTCCAAAGACTAATAAAATTCCACTCACTTGATGGAAGTTAAACACTTACCATATTCCCTGATCTAGGCAGTAGTCCGGTCCATTTAGGAATCGCATTTGCATGTTCCACATAAGCTGCATTTGTGCCAGTGCCCAATATTACAGCAGTAACAACATCATTATCAGCATATCTCCCGCCAGCCAATGTGCCTACGGTATCATTAACCTGTACAAAAATGTTACCTGTCAGTTTACATGATGTTGTCTTTACTTCTAATGTGTCCAATGGACCTTTGCTAGACATCAAGATAAAGCATCTCAAGAAACTGAAAGCAACATCGGAAGGCATAAGGAAATGGCAAATTCTATAGTATAGGTGTAAAACATAGGGCATGCGATGCGAGTACTTGAGATGTAAATAGTGAACAAATTAATTTAACTACCAGAGCTGCAACTTTCATATCAAGACCCTGCCTTTCCATGGCCCTACTCAATTCAGCCACAACATCTTCTCCAACCTGCTCATAGGAATCAACAAAATCAATACTGTGTTTTAATGTAGGACACTTAACAGTTGGCACAAACATCATGAATCTTAAGACATAGGTCCATTTTTCTCAATGAAAAAGTAGGGTTATTTGTGCCGGAAGTTCCACAAAAAAAGCAGCATGAATAGGTAAAGACTACTCCATTGTCAATTTAATAAGATGTGTCAAAATGAAATGCACAAGCTAAATTGACACATTGTACGGTCAATAAAAATGTGTAGTAATTAGAAAGAAATCCATATCTTGGTGTCATAGTCAGCTTCTGGTCAAGGCACTGGTAATATAAATAAGCAATGTAGTCAACAAAGTGTAAACAAAAAGAATTCTTGCTTTTACCGTGCCATTGATGGAAAAGCCTTTGGTCCACTTAATTAGAGTCCCCGATGATATAGATGTTTGGTGCACTGGGAAAGAAAAGGTGAAACCCAGTTCTCTCTGCTTGCCATTTGGTAGGTGGAAATTTTCTCCTTCAGTCCGCACGAATTTTTCCAGCTCAGCAGCAATGAAATCAAACAGTTCCTGTAATCATGCTTTGAGAAGTGTCAGTAAAGCATGCTGATACAGGAGACATGAAACTAGTGGGGTGGCCCCTGCAATTGCACGGATAGTATCAGGAATCTAAGTGTGTACCTTATATGTTACAAAACAAAATTTATGGATTTAACTTTTCTACATAGTTTTGTATATAAGTTATGGATTTTTGTTTTATACATTTTGTTGTACGTAACTTTTGTAAATATGAATTTGTTCACATAATCTTTGTTTATATATAGATTTGTTTATATAGCAGCAATGGTTTGTAAGTAAAGATATAGGAGAAATACGTGACCAGGAAAATCAAACGCCCGAAAAGGCAGCTTGTGCGTGGGTTGCTGATGAAACCATGTTTGTGACGAAAATAGCCAAAAAGGGAAAGCATCGATTATGGGGACGTTTAGCTAAACCATGTAAGGAAAGCAACCGAGCAAGTAGACCATCAAAGCGACATTTAGCTAAAAAGGGCAAGGGTGATGCTTCGTCAGATTGACCACTACTTCCATTACTAGTGACGTTTAGCTAAAAAAGGCAAGGGTGATGCTTCGTCAGATTGACCACTACTTCCATTACTAGTGAGCGATTGCTAATGAGAAACGCTCCCAGGTGAATTGCAACATTGATCTCTTAAATGCATTACCGTGTACGACAAACCATGTAAGGAAAGCAACCGAGCAAGTAGACCATCAAAGCGACGTTTAGCTAAAAAAGGCAAGGGTTATGCTTCGTCAGATTGACCACTACTTCCGTTACTAGTGACGTTTAGCTAAAAAAGGCAAGGGTGATGCTTCGTCACATTGACCACTACTTCCGTTACTAGTGAGTGACTGCTAATGAGAAACGCTCACAGGTGAATTGCAACATTGATCTCTTAAATGCATTACCGTGTACGACAAACTTATGCATTACCTAACTTTATTATTTCTTCTTTTTTTTGTTTCGTTTCATTTTTTTAATAATTGAGGAAGTGGGATAATAGAGAAGTATGCATGGGGGAATTCTTGATTAATTTTTTGATGGAAATAGTGGGTAATTTATAAATATTTAAAAGGGTATTTTGTGTTGATCTTTTGATGATGGTAATGATGGGTAACTTATAAATAGGTAGGGGGGTATGTTGAGGTAACTTTCATAATGGGAATGGTGGCAATGTGTTTTCCTTTTTTTCTTATCAATTGGCATAGCTTTGAGAGGAAACATGGATACTTCTTTTGTTAGCTAAATTCTAAGATAGTACAACAACTCACCGTAGAAGTTCCAACCATAAGATGAGGCGGAATGGAGACCTCTTCATATTGTTGCTTCACGACACGTTTATCCCTTCCTCCAAGTTGAACCCGTATGACACGAAAGTTGGTCCCGCCAAGGTCCAGTGCATAAAACAGTCCCTGTTCATCCCTGCAGGATAACACAAATCATTAAACAAGATAGTAACAGCAGTTGAGACCATAAAGGAAGACTTCACAAAGTAAGAACCACATGTTTCATCAGCAAATCATGCTCTATAAATGTAATGTAACTGACTGTAATTTTTTATTGCAACATACAGTATCTCTTAGGAAGTATCATCACCATATTATATTTGCGACAGATCCAACAATACAGTTTTTTTGTGTGTGTGTGTGATTCAGTAACTACATAGAAAATATCTTGTTTCCACGATTACAAAGGTTGACACTACATGTTACATGTGTTCAATATAGTAGTGCCAAACATTTGGTGACAGAGGCAGTACCGGAAAGGTGGTGCTAATATTAAATGAGACTTTAGACATTAGCCATGACGTAGAAAGGACGATATCATGGTCCTCCGTGGAGGTGAGTCCAACATGTAGGTACAGCCAGAAACACGAAAGCTTCATTTATATTTATCAAAAGAAGACATTGTAGTTTTGGAATGATCTGTGAGGCTGGGACAAATTAAACATCAAACCCATAACTGTTCACCTTATTACTACCTTAGTTACCTCGCCAACCCAACATGTAAACGGATTTACACTCAAACTGAAGATTGGAGGCCGAACGCATTCAACAACATGCGAAGCAAAAACGAAATATGAATCACACCAGCATCCCGACAACGGTGTGGTGTTAAAGACTGCAGACGTATTGCGAAGGTGCCCATGAACCAGAGCTCTACAGATGAGAAACAAGGTCTCGCTCTCGCCCTCCTACCAGAATCAACAAAACCGTAACAAGAACAGAGACACTCCCCCGCCCCCCTGGTTCCGCTCGAAAGTCGAAACCACGTCAAAGCACCGTATCCAAAACCTGAATAACCCAGCGGATCGATATTTCCACCTAATCGAGAAACCTGAATAACCCAGCGGATCGATCGAAAGACTGCGCAACATAAGAACAAGAAACGAACACTGTGGGCGGGCTGTTGCCACATCCACGCGGACGCGGAGGATCCCTTACCCGGTTGGGAGGTTGTCGACGTAGCTGATGAGCATCTTGAGCGGCGCGTGGGGCTCGGCGAAGGCCGCGCTCCATCTCCTCCACCATGGCGTCCGCGATGCCGCGGAGCAGCGCGGTGGGCGTCGAGAACCGCTGCTCCACCTCCTCGATAACCGCTGCCGCCTTCCTCTTCCTCTCGTCCTCCGCCTCACGCCGCCGACGCCTCCTGCGCGACAACGACACCACCGCCACCCCCACCGCCGCGGCAGCCGCGGCGCCCACCACCACAGCCGCCCCCACGACCGCGCCCTTCCCCATCGCGACCGACCGCCGAGCCCTAGCTAGCTGCTAGCCTACCGACCGAGCCGCGCGACCAACCCAAGTAAAGTACGGACCTGCTTGGCGCTCGGATCGCGAGCTACGCCACTGCAAGCCCACCGCTTCTCGATCTCTCCTCGCTTCTGTCGTCACGGGCTCTTTCTCCGCTCGCGGAAGCGTGGGAGTGGGGAGTGGGACGAGAGCCACGAGTTGGGCGTTTTCCCAGGGAATAAATCCCCCTCGCCCTTTGGGGCATTTACGGATGTACCCTTGCGTTTGAACGGCTGCAATTTGGTTGTCCTGAGCGCCGACGGTCTGGATCCCCGTTCGTGGGATAAGGGATGGTGCATCGTGCATGGCATGCCCTGGGTTCGGGTTATAATAAGAGGTGTTTCCTGTCCTGAGGTTTTATGCGTAAAAAAAACTCGCGAGAGAGGTTAACGGTCGAGCGCAGGAGCAGTAGCGACAAGCGAGTGATATTTCCGGCAAAGAGCCAGGGGTGTGTCCGTAAAGTTACCAGCTACTAAGCGCTAAAAATAATCAGTTGCAACAAAATCCCTGTCAGGAACCCCTACCCAGGCCCACATGTCAGCGTGACGGAGCGATTAGTTAACCGTGTCCGAACGAGACAGAAGAATGGGGTCACGTGCGGGAGGGCCCACGGAAGGTGAAGCTGACGTAACGACACGAGCGCTGACGCGGACGTGTCGACACACTAACGGTTGCGCCGATGGCCATGGCGAGGAGCGGAGCCCACCATCTCGCGCGGCGTGGGGTCAACGACCGTCGCGAACGGCGCGCCAACCGTGGTCCGTGGCCGCTCGCAAAAGGACAAAACACAGCGCCTCGGCAGTCGCGCCCGGCATCACCGACAGGTGGGTCCCGCTCCCAAGTCCTTAACGAGGTGCGGCCGACCGACGGGTGGGTGCAAGGATGGACGGATGCGTGACGCGTCCGGCGTCCCCCGCAGGCCGCCGCCAGCCTGAGAAATGTTCACGGGCTCACGGCCATCACGGTTTCCCGCTGCTTGGGGGCTGGTATTGCAGTGGCTCCGTGCTTCCACGGTTCCACCATCCACGATGTCACGCAGCTTTCGGGAACAGTTTACTACAGTCATACACTCGGGGAAGATGCTCTCTATGTCGCTGTGCCTTGGCTCCTCTGAAAGACAAAGCACCTGTTCTTATAAACAACGGAGACTGTCCTTGCAAAGCAAGTGATCCAAGTGATATTCAGTAAACAATAGAAAGACTGTAATTGCAGAACGAATGGCTTAAAAGTCAGGCCACGATACCAAACACGCTGGAACAGCTTGGCCTCATTGGCTGCTTTGTTTGGTTCCCTCAGATGGCAAATGGTGGCAGACCGACAAATCATGTAAGATAGTAGTCAATAGATCAGACACGTTGCACGAGTGACACTTGAAGATTTGTGTTATTTGTTTCATTTGGTGTGTATAAGACAAAAGGGCTGGGGAAAAAACATCAATAATTGAAGAGGAGGTTTTAGTGACGAGAGAGGAATACAAGAATAAAATGATTGAATCCAGATGTGCATTCCTCAGAGGCCGGGTGGGGTGATAGCAAGGACCGGATACAAATTCCCACTAGAAAAAAGAAAGCTAACACACTAACATATGCTCGCCACAATGCAAACCTTTTTCACCGCTTAGATCTGCAGCTCAGCTGTGCAGGAAAATCTTTACCTTTTGTCGCTGTCGAGATCTTGCAAGTTGGGGGCATACGTACAACATCACATGCAGCTTGGTATTACTTAACTCTGAGCTGACAGTAACTTCGTGTTATCTTTCGATGAAATGTCATGTCCATGTTGTCTGGATCACTGATCTAAGGACTTAAGTTTAGCCCCCTAAACTTTAGTTTTGTTGGGCTGTTTGGATCCATAGGCTAAACTTTAGTCTTTTAATCTATAATGACTGATTTGTCCTCATTTAATTATCCATGCACAGTCATGCATGCGAGCGGCAAGGAGTATGAGACGTCCCGTGCCCGCCCCGAGAGAGTTTAGCCTAGTTTTAAGCCTCTTTGGGAGCAAAAGATTTTAGCCCAATTTTTAACCATTTGCTCACTTTTGAGCCTCCCTGTTTGGATCCCATTAGTATGCGGCATCAGGTCGCGCTCTTAAAGGAAGTTGTTGCAAAAATTAGGAGGGTCATCCTGTCGGGTATTCACAGCTAGCCTTACAAAATTGCCATTCTTGTTCATGGTTTGGTCCCGACCTGATCAAAGAAGTCGTTCGTTGGGATGACAGGAACAAGGTAATTCCCAAAGAGGGAATCGAAGCTTTCATAGCTTCCAAGGCACCCCTCATGCTGCGCTTGAAGGACAGCAAATCGCTTTGCCTCTCTAAGTTTGTTGAGATCAACTCTCGCTGGCAGCGAACCCGGAATCTGCAGAAGTGTTGTTCACATCAAGAAAGGATGTTAGGAGGGAATATCAAGAAACAGGAGAGAAAGCAGCCATTGCCAGTGGACGTGTCAGGGCATACCGACGATGAGTTGGAAGATGCTACCGACTTGTCCTTATCTAGGGTAACTTGAGAAGGCCTGGCCCTGTGTTCCTGAGAACAAGATAAATTATGCAACAGGCAACACAATACTAGTTCAGGTCATGCGAAATTTTTTCGCTTTTGGCTACTGTAGCACTTTCGTTTGTATTTTGTAAAAATTGTCCAATTATGGACTATTTAGGCTTAAAAGATTCGTCTCGTCAATTACGGGCAAATTGTGCAATTAGTTATTCTTTTTTACTACATTTAATGCTCCATGCATGTGCCGTAAGATTTGATGTGACGAAAAATCTTAAAAAATTTTGTATTTTTGGTGGGATCTAAACAGGGCCTCAGTACAGTTTTGCTGCTTGTGAATTGGTAACTGTTAAAAAAATGACTGAAGATAGAATAGATTTGACTGGTACTATCACGGCGTCAAATCATCAACTAAATCATGGGTGCCATTTGTAGCCCACTCGAGTATCTGAGGTAAAGTTGCCACATCGAATGTCACATGCTATATGGGTTATCGTATAGGATATTCAAATACTAATAAAAAAATAAATTATAGAATCCGTCAGTACTCCGCGAGACAAATTTATTAAGCCTAATTAATTCGTCATTAGCACATGTGTTGCTGTAGCACCACATTGTCAAATCGTGGACTAATTAGGCTTAAAAGATTCGTCTCGCAAATTAGTCTCAAACTGTGTAATTAATTATTTTTTAGTCTATATTTAATACTCCATGCATGTGTTAAGCATTCGATGGGATATGGAGTAAACTTTAGGAAATGAACTAAACAAGTCCTTAATGTATTAACAGTAACAATGATCAAAAAAGACATTTAGCTACCTGAGAAGGAACTACAGAGCATGAAATTTTTCCTTTTGTTATTTTAGGCTATATTAAGATACGCCCTCCAGATAACCTAATACTGATACTTAAATTTACAACACACAATGGAAAGTTAACTGACAGGATAGATGGATCTGGTTCAATGGATTAATGAGGATAATGACTAGAAGAAGCAGAAACATATTTGACTTGCACAGCAATTCTTAATGATCTATGTCTAGAGGAGACAAAATTGAATGTTCTATGTTTTTGAGTTTATATGCTATACTATAGTCTACAGAGTACAATCCACAATTGGAGTTGAGTTAACAGAGGAACGTAAGAATGGACAAAACAAAAGGTAGAGTTAACAAATAGCGTTGCACAAGCAATCAAGCAGAGTATTAGACAATACATACACAGCCTGCTTGACTCTTCAGGTTCAGGATCATGCGAGTCTGAAAAAGAAAATCACTAGGACCCCTCGGGGGGAAATGCACTGTTCTTCTTCATACCTGTGCCCACAAATCACCCAATACCACCTATGCTACTCAGCTATGGCCGATGCCCTAGCAGGTGCAGGCATATTGGCAGAAATGCAAAAGGAAGGTTCCACACGAATATGGGGACTTTTTGCCGAAATACGGAAGATCACACGCACATTGCCACACTCCAAAGCCCCTTTTGAAGAACACCAAAACCTAACGTATGAGGATGCCTAGTCCGGAATCTCTTGCCTAAAAGAAACCTACACCTGTAGCCATCTGCCCACTCCTAGGACGGAGCCTTTCCATGAGTTCGGTTAATTTAAGTTTGTGCTACTCGACTGGTTTTGTGCGAGAGAAAAATACTGTTTCTGAAATTTACGATCGTTATTGACAAGCCCATAACCAAACGAATAGTCAGAGAGGGGCAGCGCAGCTCGTTCGGACGAAGGCCCCGGCTTACCCCATTCTGTTTGTTTGGGCTTCTTTTTTTCCTTGCTAGAATAGTATTTTTCGCTCATAATCATTCAGCCCGAGCAATATTTTTCGACCATTCGCCGCCAGAATTCGCCAACCGAATGGGACCAAAATCGAGCATGGGCGTCCACTAAGGGCGTGTTTGGTTCACTTCCACCTAGGCTAGTTTCGCATCAGCCAGCCAGTGCCCCTTTGGCCAAATGGCGCATGCAAGGGGTGGTTGTTTGGTTGGGTGGCTCCCTGCTGACTGGTCACATGCACCCGATGTTTGTAACTGATCGGATTCAAATCAAGAGGATCTGGAACCAATAGAAGGTGGTGGAGTTACCACTTTGATGTAGTGGTAAGGTTACCACCAGCAAGTCCAAAGTTTGCTACAACACTTTGTTTGCAATGAATATTACATCATTTTGGAAAGCTAAATTAAAATTACTAAAGCCCGGACTAATATTATTACACCCTCCACTAAAAATTACATCATTTTGCTACAACACTTTGTTTGCAATGAATATTACATCCTTCTTTGCAATGCATACCGCATGCTCCACTACGAACACGCCATCGGCTTCATTTTTTCTTCAGCTTTTAGACCATGGAATGACAAACAAAAAATTAAAGTTCATCAATGACATAAGGCATGTGCTCAGTATATATAAAAAAACCTCATCATTGGCACAAGGCATGTGCTTAGTTTTAAAAAAACGTCATCATTGGCATTAGACAAAAGCTCATATTGAAATGGTCACATCATTGGCAAACAAGATCAGATTAGTTCTCGGATCATCAAGTTCACATCAATGTCAACACAGCAAAAAAGAGATGCAAACTAGGTAAAGAAATGAGGCTCATGTATAAGAAAACAAGCATCCGGGCAATGGACATGTGCTCAGATATAAGAAAACAAACATCACAGGGCAATAGACATGTGCTCAGATATAAGAAAACAAGCATCACGGGCAATGGACATGTGCTCAGATATAAGAAAACAAACATCACAGCAATAAGGCAAGTGCTCGAGAATGAAATTGTGCAAATCACGAGCAAAGTGGTGCCCATATCAAGTTCGAGAACCACAAGGTTCACACCATTGGCAATGGACTCATGGTCGATTGCCACCACTAGGTTGATCTAGGTTGTAGGTGTAGGGTTATCTAAGACACTAACTATATGTTAGTGTTAGTAAGTAAGCTATGCAGATCGGATCAAGCTGCACAAAAGAGAAGGTCAACCCACTACACATCCACCAATTGTAGTTAGGTATGCACAAAAGATAATTGCACAAAAGGATCAACCCCAAGTCTGTGAAGCCTTCATATGTAGTAGTGCTTGGCCAAGTAGGTCCTTAGCCACAGCTCACGGTGAGAGTCAGACATCTTGACAAAAGCTGAACCCAAGGCCTTGTTGTCCAGCAGATGGCCATAAGCACACATCAGTGCTTCTTCATGAAGCTTTGGCACAAACATAACAAAGCACCATACAACTCGTGGTGGGAATCCTCAACCTTGGTCGACCTAATAGCATCAAGCAACATCCTTCATCGCCTACGCCATGCCGGAAAACAGAACAACATCCTCTTCGCCAAAGATGGATCTCTTCCTCTTGTTACCAACTCCTCCCTCACTCTTGGTATCCTGAGTCACAGTCTTGCCACATTGCTGAGGATCTCGATCTTCAGTGAGCTCTCAAAGACAGTCAGATGGTGTGCCAAGTGGCTCATTGGAGCCCATAGCCCACTTGCACATTTCTGACCATTAGCAAAGATGACCATCATCTCGCTTGTAGTGTTGTATGGGCTTGTTGAGCGGTGGAGCATCATTGGGGTGGTCTGCATAATGAATCTTCCCTTGTTAGCCATAATGACAAAATGTTTCAAAGAGTCATCTAACAAATCAAGTTGTAGTATATCAGTGTTCTTGCTCACCTTGGTATGACCATTGTAGTGTTCCTCCTCAAGAACAATCATGCAGTTGTCCTCATCCCATCGAGCTCCACTAAGGTCCCTCGGCTTGGACAGATTTCACCCACCTACGCCTCCACTTCCTCGGTGGTTGTACACACAGGTACCACTAACTTCATGACCACGTAACTCTTGTAGGGCCTTTGCCACCTTGTTCAGGTGCACTTCTTTGAAGCCCTTATCAGTCCTCACTCCAGTGGTAATGAGCTGGCACATCTGCTTCAGCACAAAGGCAGACATGGGCTCAGTCCACCTCAGAGAGGTCCTCTCACGAAAGAGTTCTGTGATCTTTGGTATGAAACCAGTCACATCATCCCCAGCAACCACATTGTCACCAGCCAAAAGACCACCATCCAGTCCAGGGAACACAAGCTCATCAGCAGCCATCATCTCCTCAGCCATAGCCTAATTCATCATTGCACATGCCCAGAGCCTCAGCACAGGTGTTTTGTATCATAGAAAAAAACATCATTGCACATGCCCAAAGCCTCAGATCAAGTGTAGTATCACAGAAAAAATATCATTGCACATTGCCCAAAGCCTCAGATCAAGTGTAGTATCACAGAAAAAAACATCATTGCACATGCCCAAAGCCTCAGATCAAGTGTAGTATCACAGGAAAAAAACATCATTGCTATTGCCCAAAGTATCAGATCAAGTGTAGTATCACAGAAAAAAACATCATTGCACATGCCCAAAGCCTCAGATCAAGTGTAGTATCACAGGAAAAAAAACATCATTGCTATTGCCCAAAGTATCAGATCAAGTGTAGTATCACAGAAAAAAACATCATTGCACATGCCCAAAGCCTCAGATCAAGTGTAGTATCACAGAAAAAAAACATCATTGCTATTGCCCAAAGTATCAGATCAAGTGTAGTATCACAGAAAAAAATATCATTGCACATGCCCAAAGCCTCAGATCAAGTGTAATATCACAGAAAAAAAACATCATTGCTATTGCCCAAGTCTCAGATCAAGTGTAGTATCACAGAACAAGAACATCATTGCTATTGCCTAAAGTCTCAGATCAAGTGTAGTATCATAGAAAAAAAAACATCATTGCTATTGCCCAAAGTCTCAGATCAAGTGTAGTATCACAGAAAAAAAACATCATTGGTATTGCCCAAAGTATCAGATCAAGTGTAGTATCACAGAAAAAATATCACAGAATAAATTACAGGCAACTTAATGATACATAATAGAACTCTAGATTCTAGAAAGACCCCTATTAGCCCACATGTGATTAGCCCATTCATCCCTCTGAAGTGCCCAGGCAGCATTGTCATCCATATGAGCAGGATGGGGCTGACTATTTGTGTCATTTGGTACCCAAGAGAACTCTTCTGGAATAACCTCATCAACCCCAAAACTAAGGATCCAGTTATGCATTATACAACATGCAAGCACAAGCTTGATTTGTGTCCTCAAGCGATGAAATGGTTTGTTGGTGTCAATGATGCGAAAACGATTCTTCAGAGCCCCAAATGCCCTTTCTACAGTTACTCTCAAACTAGAGTGCCTCAAATTATACAACTCTTTTGGGTTGGTTGGGTAGTTCCTATTCCCATATTCTTTAAGATGGTACCTACAACCTCGATAAGGAGGAAGAAATCCAGGCCGACAAGCATATCCAGCATCTACTAAGAAGAATTTGCCTAAAACAAATGTGGAGTTCAATTAGATTCATCATTTTGCAGTTACATTTGCTTCTTATTATCACAGTTGATTTAATTACCTGGTGGAACCCTCAACCCATCCTCTCTCTGTAATGCATCAGCAAGAATTGTGGCATCATGAGCTTATCCCTCCCAACCAGCCAGCACATAGGTAAATTTCAAGTCAAAGCTAACTGCTGCTAGCACATTTTGTGTGGGGGCATTCTTTCTACCCCTAAATGCAGCTTGCATCTTGGCTGGAACTTTGGCAAATACATGAGTCCCATCAATGGCCCCAATGCAGTCCTACATGGCATCCAAAATTGCATAGTAAATTGACATGAGCTAATGCAACAATATCCTAGCGACTATATATGATGAGTTTTTTTACCTTAAAGTAAGGATACCATCTATGGTCTGTTGCTAATCTTTACTTGGTGTCTCATTGCTTGGAGGTCTAATCATCTCTTGTCTAAGCTCACCAATAGCATACAACACATCTTTAAAATAGCGGTGGATCTGTCTCTATAGACCCTTCTCGCTTTTGCTTTACAACTCTAAATCGTTGGTTATGACCAACAATATGGAGAAACATTGCAACTTGCTCTTCAACACAAGAATTTATGTTGCCAGCAAGTAGCTTCTTCTCCCTAAGCAAGTTGCACAAACTAAAAAAGGGTGCCCTTCTCATTCTAAGCATGTTCACACACTCTATATCATTGTAGTTGTAAATTAAGTTCAAGTTCCTTTGGCGCTCCTCATCCCTAATGCTCATTGGACCATAATCGATCCGGACTGACTCAGCAGTAGCATTCTAAGTCTAGCAAACAAAGCAGGGCATACATAGCAGTGATAAGAGAAGCAGACGAGCAAAAAGAATGCGTCTCTTCTCTTCCAAGTCCATCTAGAAAAAATGAATGGAATTTAAGGACAAATGCTCAGAATGACAATGTCATCATCATGGACTTGGACAAAAGCTTAGAAAAAGGATTCATCATATACTAGAACATGCTAAAAATAAGACTTTCATCATCACAGACTAGGGCAATAGCTCAGAAAAAAGGCATCATCATAGACTAAGGCAATAGCTCAGGACAAAAGGAATCATCACAGACTTGGACAATAGCTCAGACAAAATGGCAACTTCATATACTTGCTCATAATCTCACAAAGTAGGACATGCATCCGAATCCAAGAACGCATGACTCACTATCGCACGCAGATGATTAGGGGGAGGCGAGAGGGGAGTAGATATACAAAATACCCACGTCAACAAGAAAAAGAAAGACCAAACAAAAGCCCAACCTTATAGGTGAGGGAGCTCAGATCTGCAAGCACACAAGCAAAGAAAAGAGGATTAGCAAACACAAAATAGGATTTTTACTTGAAAAAAACAAGAAAACAAAATGAGACCTAAGAACAAGGATCCATACCGCAATAACAGCCAAGAAATCAGATCTGGTGTGCCTGCAGCGAGATCAACAAACAATGGTGACCTAGGGTTTCAAATCGCACAGAAAAATGGAGAAAGAGGAGGGAAAAAACTCACTTGCTCGAGAGAGGACGCAAATCCACGGCAGACTGCAACAAATCGAGATATGGGGTAGGCATTAGGAGGCCACGAATCCATCAAGAACACCGAGGGGAGGAGGAAGAGGAGGTGGAGCTTACGGCGGCGTGAGACGGGAGCGCAAAGAACAAGAAGAAGAGAGAGAGGAGGCGGGAGGGAAGATATATAGGCGGTGAATGGCGGAACGGGAGGTAACCCTAGGATCTTCGCGCCATCTCCCTTTTGCAGACCGAATCGGCGCGACGAGCTCATGGGAGCACGGAGCGAGCCAGGATGAAGAAAAACGGCCGATTTGGGCGTTCCTCGAGCCGAGCCAGGAGAGGGCTTTTTCTGAGGAACCAAACATGAGCAGTTGCATCCGGAGAGCCTGGTTTACCCTTATGCGGGCAACCAAACACGCCCTAAATCGAGCGTTGGGACTTGGGAGCGCACGAGTGGTCGCAACAAATATAGCTAGGAATCTCGCGAGAACTTGGGAGGGTGATCAAAACTGGTACCTCCTAGGCGGCTCGATCTTTCGCCGCTTCGGTGGCGGCGGCGGCACCGACGCCGGGGAGGCAGGATCTGACCCGGCCGCCATGGCACAGCCGCACACACACACGACTCCTCCCTCCTTCGGTTCCCGGCCCCAGGTGCTCGCAGGGCTAAGCCCAGTTCTTTTTCCTTGCTTGGTAGTACAATTGGGCTGAAAGGGGAGACCTTTCCGAGCCCAGGATAAACCCATCATAAAGTTTCCTAAAGTTTTCAGCTTGTTGCGGAACTTTGCCATTTTGGCCCAGCAAATTCAAGGAAGCAGCGGAAGGGCTCGTCGCATTTCCAACTCCAGAGAGTGGGATTTGATCAGGGAATGCGTAGGGGGTCTTTATTTTCCAAAATCATGTGCTCACCGTGCCATTATGTCCGGAAAGCACCAAATTATGAGCGTCTTATTGGAGTACGACGTTGTATCGACATCTTTGCTTTTTTTTTTGGGGGGGGGGGGGGGCGGTCGTTCTCTGTGCACCGTGCACAGTTTGTCGATGTCCTGAATGCCTTGTCAGGTGTACACATTACACCTTTGTCGTTTCGTAATCAGATGAACGGTCGCCTTTCTGGTACCGATCCCCAACCTGTTTATCGTAACGATGCATCGCTGATCGCTTCAGCTCAACCAGAGCATTGATCAGTCCATAATCCATTCGACAATCTAACGTACGCCCTGAGAACTGACAGGCAAGAATCATGCATGCGTTGGCTTCGGTTCCAGGGTTCAATTTCGTGCAGTTTACACAAGTTCTTACGCTTTCTGACGACGACCCGTCCTGCGCTCGTCCAACCTTTTAAGTACCTTTCTAATGGTACGACCGCCCGTCGATCAGAAGCAGCTCGCGCTGCCAGAGCTAACCGATGAAGCGCAGCCGCGGGACGCCAAGCGGCACCGGCCAGGGCGTGGGCACATGGAGCACCGAGCACGTCGCGCGTCGCGCCGCCTGCGGCGTGCCTGTCCGCTGCTGCTTCGGCGTCCTAGCGGCTAGCGCACTGCGCACGCACGTACTCCTACGTACATGACGCGCGCACGTCGCATATAGCTAGCTGCTAGCACTAGCAGAGACAAGGACGCGAGAGAGCCTCTCTCGAAGTCTCGAGGCCGTGATGGCTTGATTAATTGCATCTTTCAGTCGCGTTACTGTGGTTGCTTCCATTTTTGTGTTTTCGTTCCCTCTGCAGCTCTGCTTCGTCAGCCTTGATAGAACGAGCAGCGACCAGCGAGCGCCGGTGGATCAGAGATTTCTGTCTACGGTATCGTGCATCGTACTGTAGGAGCTCGTTAGGGCGTGTTTGGTACGCGGCCTCAAGCCAACCCGGCCCAGCGGCCATGCCAATGCCAGCCACAGCCGGTCCAACACGGTGCAAGCGGTCTTGTTTGGCTGTTTATACCAAATGGAACAGGTCCATATGAGATTGTGTTTGATAGCACACCCGGTAGACCGGTCAAAGGCCAACTAACTCCAACTGCCACTTTGAGATCCTGTT